GCAACAATAGGTTCCAGGCTTAAGGTATGATAGTCTAAATAGAAAATGGGTATTGGTATTTAAACTAGAGAACACATCTTTCAAGGATGAGTGTGTGACATTTTCGAAAAATCCCTCAGTAAGGATAATTGAAGAGGCCTATATGGTGAAGCTACAACACAAGGATACAGACAACCTTGATAATGTTGAAGCTCTACCACAAAAGGAGGCTATAAAGGAGGTTGCCGAAGTTATAAAAAAGGTGAATGTGGACAAAATGATCCATATTGATAAGAAAGCAAAGGTCGAGAAAAAGAAGAGGACAAAGCCAATCAACCCATCCATGATTGTTGGTGTATAACCTTATTTTGTTATGTCAGACCTTCAAAATAAAAAGGCCAACATAACATATGCACAATTGTTCCAAGCTGCGCTAGATATGAGAAAAGACACTCTAAATTCATTGTGGTCTGAATAGATTGCCAAAGCAAGGTTTGTCGATTTTCATTTAGGAAAAAACAATGAGAATTATATAACGTCTATGTATTGTGATGCCAAAGTAAATGATATGCCGATTGTCTTTATTTTGAATAGTGGGTTTTTGGATTGCATAGTGTCTGCAGGTTTCTTGAAAGAAGCTAGCATTGCAATTGATCGACCTTTGACAGTATGATGACTAGAATCCATAGTGAACAAAAATGACCATTAGGTGAAGTTGATCCATTTCCAGTAACTGTTGGAGGAAAAACCATCACTTCTCACACTGTAGTAACGGATGCTGCAAATTATGCTGCAATTATTGAAAATGATTGGATGAAGAAAGCAAGGGCAAAACTCTATTGGGAATCTTGCGAACTAACAATTATGGATGATGATAAAGAAATCAAAGTTTTGACTGAATATTGCAAGCTGGCGAATATTAATAATCATGTTAAGGCTAAGGATACAGATGTTGGAGTAGGAAAGAAGAAAGAAACAATAGTTGATTTTGATAACAATGATGATGATAGTAGGAAGAATCAGAGGATAGTATCAAAAATGTCAAAGATAATGAAGATAAGAAGTGTTGATTATTAAGAATACTTCTTCCATGAACTTCATTCCATAAAGTCGTTCGATAAAGTCTGTAGCTTGTATATGAAGAAAAGCCATGATAATGTTGATTGCATTATAAAAAAATGCTGTGAGAATGATTGGGCAGTGTGTTTGTTAAATAATATAAAAGATTCAACCTGTGGATTAAATGTTAGAAAAATAATTAAGGAACAAAAAGGTTGTATAAAAAAGGTGCTGAGAAAATATCAAGACCTCTTTGCACATGAATTACACGAATTGGGTCATATGTTGGTTGTGCAGTATGAAGTACATACAGAAGATGATCCCTAATCAAGCAAAGGTTTTATCCTATCTCCAAAGTCGAACATGAATTCATTGGCCAAGAAATTGGACACATGGAAGATACTGGTTTGATAAAGCTGTCGAATAGTTTGTGGGCAACACTGGTTGTGTTAATTAAGAAAAAGAATGGAAAACTTTATTTCTATGTCGATTTTCAAAAGTTGAATAAGAGAATGAAATGTGATAGTTAGCCATTACCCTGTATAAATAAGTTGTTAGGAGCCTTGAAGAATTTTGCATGGTATACAACATTGGATCTTGCAAGTAGCTTCTGGCAAGTTGGAATTGACTCCCAGAATTAAGAAAAGACAGCTTTCATGATGAAATATGGCCTTTATGAATTTGTAGTAATGCCATTTGGATTAACAAATGCTCTAGCAATGTTCCAAAAACTTATAGATCATGTCCTTCATGAAGAAATGTGGAAATTCGCCCTAGTATATATTGATGATGTGAATATCTATTCACCGACTTTGATACGTATTTGAAGCATATTGATATTGTTTTGTCAAGGCTTCATGAAGCCAACCTGAAGTTAAATCTGGACAAATGTTTTTTTAGACAAAGAAAGATTTCATACTTGAGTCACAAAATAAGTGGAATGGGAATTGCTATGGCTGAATCAAAGATAGTAGCTGTAAAGGAATTTCCAAGACAAACAAACGTACTAATATTGCAAAGTTTTCTGGGACTTGCTAAGTTCTATTGTCAGTTTGTAAAAAACTTTATGAAGGTATCTGCACCTTTGTACAAGTTGTTGAAAAATGAAGTGAAATATCAGTGGAAAAAGAAACAGGAAGAAGTGTTTGTTGAGTTAAAGAAATGACTAATAACAAGCCCGATTTTAGCACATCCCAGGGACGATAAAGAATTTTTATTGTATAGGAATGCATCTTACATAGCTCTTGATGCTATATTGACACAAGTGAATAATAAAGGATGAGAATGTGTCATTAAGTATGCAAGTCGGTCAACAAAGCCTTCCAAAAAGAATTATATGATTATAGAGTTAGAATATACTGCAATTGTTTGGGCTGTAAAGAAATTCCATTATTATTTACACAGGCCTCAATTCACATTAAAAACAGACCATAGTGCTTTGACCTACCTAAATAATATGTTGAACTCAACTGGTAGAATGGCTTGATACATTATGATACTTCAGGGATATGATTTTGTTGTGAAGCATAAGCCCGGAAAACAAATAGGCAACATTGATGCATTATCAAGAGTCACATTTGACCCAGATGGAAGTTCGACAATGAAGAAAGAATCAAATGATGGATAAAAAGGTGCAATAAAAAAATAAAAAAAAACATTTATTAGTAAAACCAGTCACATGAATTCGAATTACAAAGAAGGAATGAAATCATAATAACTTAACTGCTGGAATGCATCGGAATTTTCAAACTTGGAACAATTCACTTGAATCAGAATCACATAGCTACATATAAAAAAAAAAATAAATAAAAATGATGAAAGAATTGTTAGTAACAGAAACAAACAGACATAGTGAATTTGGGACGGCTACAATGAGTAGGTGCGGGGAAAAGGACGCCTATAGATCTTGAATAAGATACCTATATGGAATGTTGAATAATAAAATGTTAATTGAAAACATATATCCACACAACACTTGGAATTTGGATAATTGCAAATGAATCGAAAAAGACTGGGAATTAGGGCCTATTAGTCCAAAATTGTATACAACAAAGTCGAACGATAATTCAAGCGATATATGGTAACTGAAGCAAGCGAATGTTGAAAGACCTACCGACAATGGATCGTGAAGAATTGGTCTTGACGATTTCGAAAGAACAAGAAGCACGAAACGTTTTACGAATATGAGGATTCGAGCAGAGCTCATCCTTCGAGGAATATGTTACACAACCAAGTTTCAGAATTAAACTTTGGTTTGTGGAACATGTGAAATATGTAGTGTAACTCTATAATAGTCTATGCGAAGTTTATAGTAAAGAGTATACTTTAATTAGACTTTTATATAGTTATACGACATATTTGTAAATAGTAAATAGTCAATTTGTAGTCTAATTATATGTATAAGTATAGACATATAGAACGTTAGTAAGGAGAGTTGGTTTTAGAAGTACTTTGAAGTTAGTTAGTTTTAGAGGGCCTTTGAGTAGTTTTCGTTTGGACTCTTAGTAAGTTTGGAACTTGCTAAGTAGTTAAGGAAATAAGTGTAATAGTACAAATAGTGTGTCTGGGACACAATAAAGACATTTGTTTAATACCCTAAAGTGCTTTGAGTTCGTAAATAAGATATTCAGGTTACCATTTTAATGCTCACGTTCCTGCACTAAATTGGTGCTAATAATAAAAAGTCTCTCCCATGAACGTAACAATACTCACTTAATTAGCTAAATTAATGCAAATCAAATAAGTAAATGCTCACAAACTTATTTTAATCAATTAAAAAGTCTTTTACACTCACCTTCCAAACTAACACGAATAATAAAAGGCACTGAATAACTATATACAATTTTAGCCATGTAACTAATTATCATGTTTGGTCAGAGTTATTATATTTTATTGTTTAACTGAGTTGTTTTGCTTGTAAAAATATGAAGCATTTATTTTGTGAATTCAATACAGTAAATAACGAAAGTCAAATTGAGTCAAACCGGAAGTCAAACCGAAAGTCAAAACGAAAGTCAAGACGAAAATCAATGTGAAAGTCAAAGTGAAAATCAAAGTTAAAGTCAAAATGAAATTTAAAGTGAATGTCAAAGTAAAAAAAAGTGAAAATCAAAGTGAAAGTCAAAGTGAAAGTCAAGACGAAAATCAAAGCGAAAATCAAAAGGAAATATTATTTTTAAGCATGATAAACACAACTTTACTGGCAATCAGTTTTCAAAATCGATGTAAGCCAACAAAAAATCCGACAACCATTTTGTTGGAGCGACGCTATGTAAGCTCTTTACTATTTGAGTTTAACGAACTTTTTTTAAATTTTCGTATGCTGAGTCAAGAAATAATAAGGGCGAAAATGTTGTTCTTAAAATTCTAGCGTGTTTAGTCAAAATGAAGGTATCTAAAATTTCAATAGTTTTGACGAAAACTAATACAACAAAGGTGCTTGAAATTTTGATAGTTTGACCGGAACTACTACTAATAATTTTTTTAAAACATTCTACTAGTCGAATTAGTACCATTATTTAAATTTTCAGTGAATTAGGCCAGAACAATTAATTACAAAAGCATTTTTTTTAAAAGATTTTAATGAGTTGGGCTTAAAACAATTGTGATTTGGCCAAAAACAATTATAATAGAAGATATCGAACAAACAAAATTTTGTAATTAAAATTTACAAAAATTAAGACTTTATTATTAGCCTATTATGCAACATGTTCGAAGAGTAATTATTTTTTTAATTAATAGTAACGTGCTCAGCATTGATATAGTAATTCTTTACGGCTATGTCAATATTATTACATTCTTCAAGTTCTTGACTTTATACTTTATAAATAAAAGAATGAAGTAATAAAAGTCAGTGACCATCAAGAGCAAATATAAGGTTAGATGCATTAATATTTAATGGGAGGCTCTTGTATAAATTTTAAAATCATTAAATATATTTCAGATGTAAAAATTTAAAAATTTTATATAGCTTTAACGTTCGATGGTGTTTTCAGCAATATGGCTATAAATATGAATATGAATGTGATAAGTATATAGCAAAACAAGGTAAATATACGATCAAAAAAAGTATGTATATGATTAAATAATATAAGGATAGATACATAAAAATAAGGAATAATTCTAGATACTAAAAAAATAAGAAAGCAAGAAATAATTGTAATGTAGAATATATGCTCAAAATAATTTGCAATATGATAAGGTTTTTTCAATTTCTTTTGGATATCTTCTGGAACATAACTAGGAAATTCTTTAGTATCATTTGATTTGAATAATGTTGAAATAGCCAATGGCGTATTAGAAGTGACCAAATATAAAAATCTAGAATTTCCCCAAATATATTTTTTATGCTCCTCTGTAAGTCTCATTTCTGATAATAATTCAAACAAATTTTTAATGTCATTTTGATTGTCGATGCTACTTATTTTATTCAATTGCTCGTGCAGCTTGCATAATTGTGGATCATTATGCAACTTTGCAAGTAACGAGGTCAGATCTATTAAATGTTTTCTGTCCATCAATGTTTTAATATCAACCCAATGGCTTTTATATGGTTCAATATTATATGGTAGTCTGTCAATATAGTTGGAAATTCCCTTGAAAATGTCAGGAGACTCTTTCTTGGATGGCCGAGCCATTGGTTCCAATAAAGAAATCAAATTTGTAATATGAAATGGTGAGTATTGTTCAAAAATTTTTTCATATCCATTGCATCGATTTTCGATGTCATTTTCTTTTAGATTCTCTAACTTATCTCTAAATTCGCACTTACAATGTTTGTCGTTACAAATTGAATCAATGGCCTGATTAAGATTTCGTAGAGAAATTCTGTCATTTGCTTCACGAGTATACTTCACGGCATCCTTAGCATTATCGATTTTTTTAAAAAATGAATCTCGTGATTTAAATAAAGACTTCAGTTGGCTGTTAAGTTTTTCCAAATCCTCAGGTATTTTTTTAAATTTGGAGTCTGTAGTACACCACCCATGTCTTGTAAGAAGATTTTTTAATTCATTATCGTTTTTAGTGGCTAAGTGTGCAATTGATGATATCACATCCCAATCATTTCCAAAAGACGCACTGCGAACAATACTTAACACGTCACTTAGAGTTTTATGTGGCTCTTGGTTGAATGGTATTTCCAGGTTTACTGAATCTAAATTCTGCATATCGATATTTGTTGGATCAACAGTTTTTATAAATTCCAAAGAAAATTTAGATCGATCAGGATAAAATGAATGACTTAGAAAACTGCAGGACAGTACTGAAAAATTCTTATTTTCAAAAATCTGCAAGAGAATTAATATATCCAACTTGTTTAGGCATACAGCCTTGATCTTTCCACCATTAAAGATGAGTATTAACGGTGCTGCATTGGAAAATGGTATCCCTGACACACCAAATATCCATTCAACATCTGAAAAACAATCTTTTGATGAAATATTTTTTATTTCACAAATAGCATCAAATGCTGTATCTGTTGCATCCAATGGGACAAAAAATTTAAAATCACCATCTTTAGAGTCTCTGATTTTTTGAAGCGAATCTATGTAATTATGAGCAATATAACCATTAAAATTAATTTTTACCAAAGATATTAATTTATTTAAAGAAGTAAAGTCTTGAATAGGAAATTGAATTTTAAAACATAATGCGTATAGCATGTAAAAACGGCTTTTGATGGGATTTCCTACTCCTATGGCAGCATTCAGAATTTCAAGAACTTGAAGTATCTCCTTCGTCCCTCTATAAATTTTAGAGTCATCATAATCTTTAATCTCTAGGGAAAAATCATTCAAAACACTTGGAAAAGCTATTCCAACTTCAATATTTTGTTTTTGTAAAGCATCGGCGATTTCAATAAGATGATGTATCGTACTATTTGAGGAATCACTTAAACTAGTCCGCAATAGTACTTTGACACTTAATCTGGAATTAAACCATTCTTCTAGTTTATCAAGATTTGTAAAATATTTAATGTTGATAGTCGCATCTTTTTCACATACAATACTGAGTTCTTGTCTTCCGTATGATACAAATGATTTAATCTTGTCGCGTACTTTTTCTGTACTGAAATCACTTTTATCATAATCCTGCTTTTTTTGAAAGAGCTCTTTATAGGTGCATTGCGCAATTTTGTATTTTCTTAAAGCGTCACACACTGATTTAAAATCTTCTTCGGTTTTCTTTCTTAATTCCTTTTGAAATTCCAAAATATCTTTTGATAATTTGGATTGATTATCGGATAAAATAAATTGCAAGCGAGGTTCCTTTTTTAGTACATGGTTTTTAATATATTCGGATGATTGGTACTTCTTCAGTTTGATGAGGAAGTTTTCTAAAGCATTGTCTTGCAACTGCTTATAAAATTTTTCACCTTCGAATTTAAGAAACCTATAAATTGGTACAAGTGTGAACTGAATAGACACACCTGTAATATTAATAAATTTGTAATCTGGATCTTTTTGAATACTTGTGTCTACACTCTCAATCAATTCGAACATTTGTTTTATAGATGCAGGCTTTTCTTGCTGAATTGGTGGTCTCGAATTCACAGATATTTGCATCTCATAGTTGCTAGTCATTTCCGTGTCTAGCTTCTCCAGTTTAGTTTTCAATGATGCATCCACTTTACCAAAATGAATACTTCCAATCAAGTAATCTCTAAAAGATGCATTTTGGCAAGTATCATTTTGTTTGATTCTTATCTCAGCGTTCACTTCTGCTCCAAATGTTATGCCAGATACAATATGGGTCGCTGTAATAGTTTTGTTGATGAGCTGTTCTTTAATAGTGTTGTCTATTAATCCACTTGCTTTAGGAAGCAATTCAACATAATAATCATCCTGACAATATTGGCATATAAGTTGTTCTTCACCCACGTTTTTAGAAAATGTATTATTGTAATGGCCACGTCCTTCTATATTAATAATACCTGATAATACCTCTACTGACACTGAACCGTCTATTTTTAATATTTTTAGTTTATCTTTTATATTCTTAACATAAACTAAACGGTAATCTTTGTTTTTCAATGGGCAAATATTAAAATACTCTTTTTTTGTAAGCATTGTTGTAAATAAATTAGAACTTGATGTTTTGAATTGACGGCAGTCAAAAAGGGTACCAAAGGTTAATGGATTATTTTCAGAATTTGGAATTTTCAAGACCAAATCTTCCATATACTTTTCATCCATATTTAATATGAAAATGAATTGATGTAAGGGGATTTTTTGATTTAGATGAGTAAAATTGAGTGCTTATTTATAAGAATTTTTAGCATATTGCGAGTGGCGCCGTCAATAAAAATGAGTCTCGAGGCCATTTGTACTTAATAATTGTCGCGGCTGATGCTGGAAACGGCTGAAGCTGGAAATCAGGGACCCTGATTTAAAAATATAAACCCTG